AGAGACTCTCGTGTTTTTATAAATAGGGTAAGCACAGCCTTCTCGGATTTTGAAGTTAACGTCTAATTTTGGCTGTGATTCTTTTTAAAAATTAAAAAAGAAAAAAAAAGTTTCTCAGCTGGAAAAGAAGCCACACACACGTAACGAAGATGATGCCGGATCCCGGTCTCCTCCCCGGCAGACCAGACCGAACCAGCCCCCAGCCCAGAGCAGAAGTCCCGAGAGACAGGCAGGCAGGCCGGCCGGCCGGCGGCGGCAGAAACAAGAACTCGGCATCAGTTTTATGTAAATTATAAGTCCCAGGCGCCCAGTTCCGCCTGCCCGGGTCTTCCCTGCCCTCTGCCAGCCAGCCTGCCCTGGGCCGGTCCTCTGCCCGCGCTCCTTCCTGCCCCGGGGTCCCGGGAGCACCTGCTCCTTACCGGCCTCCTCCCCGCCCCGCCGCCCCCAGGGTCAGAAAATAGATATATATTCTTGACTGAAGTCCGATTGGGAAATATTTCCTGTCTTTTATTTTAAGCATCAGATTGTTTTAGTTGATTTAAAAAGGAAAAAAAAAATATAGAAAAGACCAAAAAAAATATGGAGACAAAAAAAAAAAAGACCGAGGGTGTTGTTGGGCGTCTGTCTAATGTGGAGGGTCTTTTTTTGAGGGGTCTCCTAAAATAAAGTATTTTGATAAGCAGCCGTCTCGCCCCGGTGGTGATTACGTGGACCCGGGCCCCCACTGCCGCCTGTCCCACGGCGCCCGCTGGGCCCACCTGGCAGGTTAGCGGCCTCCAGCTGCTGGAGGCTGGGGACACGGGGGCCCCCCCCTGGGTGGGGCACCTCGTGTCCTCGGGGGGGACCTGGCCCCGGCAGGGCTTCGTGAACACTCCAGCCAGCCGGTGGCTGCGTCTCCCCAAGGTGGATCCCGGGGCGGAGAGGCCAGGAGGGACAACCGTCAGGGCTAGGCCGGCCCTGCCCGGAAGCTGTTGTGCGGTCGGCGGAGTGACCGCGCCCCCGGGTGTGCTGAGCTGAGCGGGAGACGTCCCGCCGCGGAGCACAGGCGGACCGTGAGGTCTGAGCGAGGCTGTGCTCCCGCTCTCCCCTGGAGAGCCCCATCGGGGCCAGGGCCACGGAGCAGGGACGCCTTCTGGTGTGGATTAATCTCGCAGAGGAGTGCCGTGGCCTCGGGGCGCCCCCACGTCGCGGTGCCCTCCCGCCCCCAGGCTGCTTTGAAACAAGGTCTCAGGTGCTGCACACGCCCTGGAGCCCGTGCTGCCGGCCCCGTCCTGGCGCCGGGGGGCGCTTCACGGTGCCCGGGTCGGGAGCCGGGTCCGGCACCAGTGCGCTCGGGTGCTCGGCCCCAGGGCTGGCTGGCTGTCAGAGCGAGGGGCCCGGTGGGGGGGTGTACTGCCAGACCGGCCACACCCCCGAGCGTCCTGAGCAGGTCATGCTCCGGTTTGCGTCCACATCCTGCGGGAATTGGGATTCCTCTCCCGACACGGTGGCCTCGATTACGTGTCGCGGCAACTTTCCAAAGCTTATCCGGTTTGCCGTCGGGTCAAAGCCGGGTTCGGAGAGAACGCCCGTCCTCTGAGTAGGTGGCCTTCCGGGACACAAAGCCAGAACCCGGGACAGCTTGGGGGCCAGCCTGTCCCGACGTGCGCTGTGCCCCTGGGCTGCCGGACCCCGCAACCGGCCGGCAGTGATGGCCACTGTAAAGCCGGGAGCCCCCAGGGGAGCCCACCACCCAGCCGTGCGCGCCGCCCTGACCCGGCTCAAGCCAGAGCCCTGGGTCCGCTCCACCCCCAGCCTGGTCGGAACTGACAGTTGGGAACTTGCCGTCTGGGCTCATGGCTCCTCTTGGCTAGACTTAGCAGGTGCCTGTCCGGGGAAGGGTAAGAGCCGCACCCCAAGCCAACTCTCCCCCGCCCAGTCTGGTGGAAAGAACATTCCGGGCCGGGCGTCTGGGGAAAGGAAGGCCTCTGTTACGTAATGGGTCCTCGGGCATCCTTGCCTCCAGGGAGCACGATGGCTGAGATCCCGGCTCGTGTGGTTTACGTGTAAAGCAGTGGGGATGATGAAGGGTCGTCCCTCCACTTCCGTGTCTGTCCCCGAGGCCGCCCCCCGTGTCCAGGTACAGTCTTCACAGCTAGGGGGCCCCGCCACGTGACACGTGCTGACCTATCCCCTCCGACGCCTGCCTGCCTCTCCTCCCACCCGAGGGCCTTCGCACATGCTGCTTCCCGTTCCTGGAACTCTGACCTCGCTCACCGCTCACGCTGCCTCCGGCCACTCGGACCAGGCCTGCCCCGTCCCCTCAGCCACCCCCGCAGACCCCGGCGGGCCCTCCCGCCTTCCTCCCCCAGCCAGCCTGCCCCTGGGCCAAGCCCCCTGCCCTCTCTTCTCCTCTCTCTCAAGCGGATGAAAGCAAGACGGAAGGGTTTTATTTTCTAATTTGTATTTTCGTCACTGAAACGTGAAATACAGTCTCCAACGTCATGAGGGAAGACGGGCTAACGTGGCAGCTCGGTCTGGTGAAAATGCAGTTTCTGTGGGTTTCCCGCTGGTCGTTCACAGCAGCCCCCCTGCAGTCATCACGTCTCGGCTGGACATGCCCTCCTGCACCCTCCCCTGTACCCAGTTCCCCCGGACCTCCACCTCCTCCTGCTCCCGCCCCTCCCCTGCTCTCCCTACCCCCCGCCCCCCCCCCCCCCCCGGTGACCGTTGCCACCAGCCCACAGGCGGCCTCGCTCAGCAGGAGGGGCTCAGCCTGTGGTGCTCAGGGTGTCAGAGCTGAAGGAGGCCTGTGTTCCAAGGGGCATGGTTTGAGGGTGGGGCCTTCTGGGACACCGCCTCCGGGATGCCCTCCGACTTCCTCTGGTGGTGCCTTTCCAGTCTTGCCCAACCCAGGACTTCTGTGCTTGCCTCAGCCACCCGCAGGAATGAGGTGCCACCTGGGCCCCCGCCCTGCATCCATGCAACCTTGATGTCAGGCTGGCCAGGACCCCCGGCCCCCCCCCGGGCCCTTCCCCTGCCCCTGGTCCCCTTGAGCAGCGTCTACCCCCGGAACTGGCTGTCAGGACCACGGGGAACAGTGCTGGGTGGCCCTGGTGTCACAAAGCGGGGGGAACGCACAGCCTGGCCCCCGGTTCCTCCACTGGACGCGGTGCCCGCCCAGTGGGCCGTTCGGAAAAGACACACGAGATGCTGACACGCATCTCGCGGGGGGCTGGTGTGGGCAGGGGGCAAGGCTGGGGCCTCGCAGGTGTGGACCCCCCTGGCAGCCACGGCATATTCTTCAGTTCATAAAGGAGACCCGCGTGCATGTGTGGCCAGACCCCCCTGGCCAAAGGGCAGCGAGAGCCCCGCACACGTTGCACCTCCACCCCGCCCCCCCCCCCGCCAGCCTCCAGGCCGGGGTCAATCTGCCAGCGCCCCGCGACTGGGGCGCCGTCCCCCCACTCTCCTCCCTGGGGACCCGGGCTCAGCCCCTTCCCCCCGTTCTGCGGCACTTACGGGACGCCGAGGCGCCAGGGGCAGCTGTGTGCCGGGGCCGTGGCAGGTGCGCCACCCCACTGTCCCTGCCCTCAAGGGAGGAGACCCCCGAGCACCCCTGCAGGTGCAGGGGGCAGCCGTCGGCTCTGCCCGAGGAGGCTCTTCCTGGAGAGCTGGCCTGGGCTGACACACAGAGCACAGCAGCCAGCATCCGCCCTGCAGAGGCGGTCACGGGCTCAGCGGTGTCCCCCCCCCAAAATATGTCCACGTCCTGGCCCCGGTGCCTTTGGAGAACGTGCCCTTATCCAGGAAAAGGGTCCTGGCAGATGCGGCTATGGTAAAGGCCTTGAGATGGGATCCTTCTGACCGAGGTGAGTGTCCTCACGCAGAAGGCGAGATGGGGGCACAGGGGAGGGGCCGTGTCATGGCCGCAAGCCAAGGGACGCTGAGAATCAGCAGCAGCCAGAAGCGACAGGAGGTGGGACGGGTCCTCCCTCGGAGACCCCAGATGCCACTTACCCTGCCGACAATGCGATTTCAGACCCCGGCCTCCAAACTGTGGGAACAAATTTCTGCTATCGTAAGCCCTCAGTGTGTGGTACTTTGTCGAAGCCGCTCTAGCGAACTAATACAGGTGGTGATCTCCCCATTGCAGGAGGTATGCAAGCAGAGGGCTGGGGCGCCGGAGGGAGGACCAGCCCTGGGGACTCAATGCATCTATCCCTCCATCATCGGAAGCAGCATTTCCTCCAGGCCAGCGAGGGACAAGGGTCTCCCTTAACCCTGTCCTGCTCCCCGGGACACAGGCCCAGCAAGCCCACTGACAGGTGCAGCCGCCAGGAGAGCCCTCCTCCCTCAAGGGGTCTCCGCGTCCCTGGAGTCTCGGGGTGGCGCCTGCCTGGTGCGGATGCTGGCCACTGCCCGCATGTGGGCAGGCGGGGTCCTGGGACGGCAGGTGATGCCCTCCCGCCACCCTCAGACCCTATTCAGCTGGGGGACGCTTCAGATTCTGATATGAGGGACCAGGACGCGCAGGGCCCTGGGTCTTGGTGGGTGACCAGGGGACCCCGGGGGGTGGTGTCCAAACCCCAGCCATTCAAAGCTTCACCAGACCACCTCCCACTGTCCTTTCCAGGGTAACAAAGGCGCCCGGCACTGTCACCCCACGGCCCCACGGCCCAGCTCCTGGAGCGCCTTCTGGAATGTCTCCCACCTGTGCAGGAGGGGGCGGGCACCGATGCCCCTCCTGGAACGTTGGCTACAAACAGGACCGACCTCGCGTCCACAACCTGGGGGACCGGCCCCCGAGGAGCTCCGTGCGGCGCTGTGAGTGACGGAGGCCACCCCGGCTGCCCGGCCCACGGCTCCCCGTGGCCAAAACATCCCGGCCCGTCCATCGGCAGTGGCCAGCCTGGGGCAGGGTCCCTCCGGGCGGGGGGGAGGGAGAGGAGGAGGGGGGTGGGCACGGGCCCGCCCTGGGCGGGGAGGAGACAGGGGCACCCACCGGGAGGGGAGGAGGAAGCTCAGCGGGCACTTCCCCGGGGAGGAAGCGGCCCGGATTTCCCCCAGGTGTGGCTGGAGGTATAAAGGGCGCCGGGAGCCGGGAGGCTCCAGGACCGCAGCCGGTGCACCTGCCTCTTGCAGCCCAGCGCCGCCGCCGCCGCCACCATGGTGAGCCGCCGCGTCTCCCCACGCCCCCACCTGGGCGGGGCCACCTGGCCCTGAAGGGCTGGCAGCTTCCCGCCCCCACTCGGAGGACGTTGGGATGGGGTCCAGGAAGCCCCCCAAGGCTGGGGACAGGAGGCAGCCGGGCCCCAGGAGCTCTGGTGCTCTGGGGAGCTCGGGCTGCAGGGCTAGCCCCAACTTGGGAGAGAGGGCTGTACCCCGTCTTTCCACAGGAAATAGGGCAAGCCGGGGCGGGGGGCGGTGAGTGCCCCCTTCCCTGGGCGCCCCCTGACCTGACTCCCCAATGCCTACCCGCCAGCTCCTCCCTGGCCTCTTGCTTCTGTTCTGGACGCCTGCCAGCCTGGCCCGCCACGGCCCCCAGCTCTGGGGGGGCCCCCACGCCCACGGGACCCCACGCTGCTACTCGGCCGAGGAGCTGCCTCTGGGCCAGCCCCCGCCGCATCTGCTGGCTCGAGCCGCCAAGTGGGAGCAGGCTTTGCCCGTAGCCCTGGTGTCCAGCCTGGAGGCGGGGGGCCGCAGGAGGCGGCACGACGGCCCCCCCGCTGGGACCCAGTGCCCGGTGCTGCGTCCTGAGGACGTGCTGGAAGCCGGCATCCACCAGCGTTCCATCTCCCCCTGGAGATACCGGTGAGGGCCGGGGGGGAGGGGGGGGCGCCCTGCGTGCTGGGGTCCCCGCTCCGTGCTGCTGGGCCATCCCCGCCCCCCTCTGAGCCTCAGCGTCTCCACCTGTTAGATGGGACGGTCACCCCCAGGCCGGGCGGGTGGGGCCCCATCAGCGGGGCGCCTCCTTGCCGCTGTGGTGGGCAAGAGTCCGTCCCGGCTCGGTGGCCAGGGACGCCCGGGAGAATGCCGAGGTCCGCGCCTGAGCCCCTGCAGGGGTGGGCGGGTGGGGGGCGCTGGGCCGGGGAGGGGGGGAGGGGAGGGGGCTCGCTCACCAGGCCCCGCCCCGTCTGTCCCCGCAGCGTGGACACGGACGAGAGCCGCTACCCGCAGAAGCTGGCCTTCGCCCAGTGCCTGTGCAGGGGCTGCGTCAGCGCCAGGACGGGCCGCGAGACGTCGGCGCTCAACTCGGTGCCGCTGCTGCAGAGCCTGTTGGTGCTGCGCCGCCAGCCCTGCTCGCGGGAGGCCACGGGGCTGCCCACGCCCGGGGCCTTCTCCTTCCACGCGGAGTTCATCCGCGTGCCCGTCGGATGCACCTGTGTCCTGCCCAGGTCGGCTCGGTGAGCCCCGGCCTCGGCCGGCCTCGCCTGCGCCCCCCCCACCCCGCGCTGGACAGTCGGGGGGCTCTCCCGGGAGGGCCCCCCTATTTATGGGTATTTATTGCTTATTTATTTGCCCCACGGGGTCCCCGGGCAGGTACCGAGGCTCCGGGCCTCGGGGTTGAGGAACGACGGCGGACGCCACGCCCCGAACGGTTGTGTCCCCCCGTGCCTGGAGGGTGACTCTGCTGCTCGGGCCCATCTCGAGACTCGGTTTACCCTTTCTGCAAAAACACTTGGGCTGGAAGGACTCTTTGTCTTCTTCTAGAACTTTCTTAAACAACACGAACGGTGTTCTGATGACGCCTCCGTCTCGGTGTTCCCCCCGGGGCTCCCCTCACACCCTCCCTGGACTCACGCTGCTCCCGGCCCCCCAAGCTTCCCCTCCCCAGCCCCCCCAGAGGAAGAGGTACCCCTGTATCTCCGAAACAACTATTTTAAGTGTCAACGCGTCGTTAAATTGACAAACGTCCCCCAGAGGGCAGAGGGCGGTGGTTGAAGGCACCCCGCCCCCCCTCACCCCTGCCTGGCCCTCGGCACCCGGCTGGTCCCGCGGGGGCAGCCGCCGGCCCTAGATTCTCGTGTCCTCCCAGGAAGGTCCCAAGGTTGTCCACTTGGGAGATGTGCTTTGACACGGGTGTGCCCTGCTGGCCCTAGCAGGGCCTTGGCACCTGAGGGGCTCCCATTCTGGCCGTCTTGTGGCCAGGCCCTCCTCCACCAAGGGGACTCCCCCTCTGCCCCACAGACAGCGTCTGAGGGAACTCCTGGGGGAGTCCGCTCAGGGGGACACATCTCCGGTGTCTGAACGTCCCCTCCAGCCCCACCAGAGATCCTAGGCGGATCTCGCTGCCTGGACGGCCCTGGGGCTTCGGCCCCCCGGCAGGGACCCGGCAGAGCCCAGCAGCCCTGAGGCCAGCCACCCCAGCCTCCTGCAGAGCGTCCTGGCTCACAGCGTGACTACGCAGGTCATGGCCGGGGGCGCTCGGTGTGTGGCCTCAGCAGGTGTGGAAAGGGGTCCCAGGCAGCTCTGGCTCGGCTACACCCCCCTCAGAGCCTCAGTTTCCCCAGCCTAAGGGGTGACTGCCGTAGGGGCTGCAGGGCTCTTTTCAGAAGCTCCCTGATGGACCACTTTCACCCCCGATCAAGGTCCGCTGTGTTCAAACAAGCCCGCGGGAGGTGTTCGGGGTGATCTTTGTGTGGGGTCTGAAGGACACTCTGCCCGTGGGTGGCCACACCGCTTGTCGGCTGGTGAGGGAGTGAAGGCCCCGGGGAGGGGGGAGGGGGGAGGGGCTTCCAAACTGAGGGTCCAGGAGGCCCAGAGGCCACCTGAGCAGGGACCAGTCTTGCAGTAGAGGGAACAGCCTGTGTCTGGGGGGCAAGGGGCATCCCTGTGGCTGGAGTGGCAGGAGGGGGCGGGGGGGGCGGCATCCGTCCTGGGCTGTGGGTTCAGTGAGGACAGGCGGGGGTGGGGGAGGCAGGGGGGCGGGAAGCGCCCATCCTGGATTTATTTATGCAGAAGGCAGAGCTGGGATTGGGTGTGGTGTGCACACGGGGAGTCAGGGAGCCTGCTCTCCATGGTTTAGTTTGGGAGCCACGCGGGGGACCGCCGGAGACGCCCGTCACACGACCTCGTCGACCACCGGGACCGGGTTCTCCTGAGGGCCGCCAGAAACGCCTGCGGATGCCGCGGCCTCCTCCTCGCTGGACTTCTTTCGGGCCTCGGCCGGGGGCCGGGGCGGGGGGTTGCTGGGCGGCTGCTTGATGGTGCCCCCGACCTGCGGCCGCTCCTTGGGCTTGGGCTCGATGGGGGTCCACTGCTCTCCGTGGAAGGCTGCCTGCAGGATGCAAAGAGGCCGGGTCACAGATGGGCTGCCCTGGCCCCCCGGAGGCCAGCTCTGCCCCGCCCCCGGGAACTGGGCAGGACCCACATGTGAACCCACTAAGTCCAGAGTGACAGCCAGGACCCCGGACTCCAGCTGCTTCGTTATGGGGCGGGGGACCCTGAAAGCGGGGCAGGGCGAGTGGAGACCACTCCTAGGCACAGGCTCCCAGCCGGGGCTGGCCCCAACCAAGGCTGGGGCAGGGCAGGAGGCAGGCCTTTGTATCACACAATGTCTGGCAGGCCGGGCGTCTGCGAGGAGTGAGGGGCCCAGGAGGGCAGCCGAGGGGGGCGGGGGGGGCGGGCCCTTTCTGCCCTGGAGCCTCCCCAGGGGCACCAGCCACGGTGAAGACCCCAGACTCTGGCTGAATGCAGACTCCTGGGCCCCGGGGCCCTACGGCAGACTGGGACGGCCTGGGAATGTATGCTTTCCATCTGTACCCCACAATCCTTGATGGATAATAAACTGTGGCTTCACATCACTCATGAAGCAGAAGAATAAATGTCCCACCTCCGGACTTAAAACTAGCACATCCCCCCTGAAAAGTAAACCACACTGCCGATACGAGAGAGTGCAGGCAAATGTGGTTTGCGGGGGGGGGGGGGGGGGGAGGGGGGGGGGGCGGGGGGGGCAGGGAAAATGCACAAACCAGAAAGCGGACACAGGTGAACCTCTGCTCGTCCGCCCAGGGAAGGATTTCACAAAGTTAACAGACCCTTAAGGGGGGCCGGGGGAGCATTCAGCGTCAGACGCTCCCTCCCAAAGCCTCCACGATTAAAACATACATAAGATTCCCCCAAATTAGTAAGGAACAGACGAAAGAGCCATGGGAAAATGGGCAAGTGACACGAACAGGCCCATTCCGAGAGGAAGGATGGTCAGACAGGAGTCGAAAGCGGCCGCGGCCCGGCGCACCGGCGGTCAGGCGGGGTGGGCGTGTCCTGCGGGTGACCTCTGACCCAGCAGTTCCGCCGCTGCGGGTCCTTGAGGGGCCGGCCGCGTGTGGAGGGTCCGGGGCTGGATGCGGGCGACGCCACGACCGCAGTGGCGAGAGCGGCCGGCCGGCAGGAAGGGCTCTCTAGCGGGAGCACGGGGCGGGCGGGAACGGCCCACAAAACGGTCAGAGCCCAGACGTCACGCCGCCCCGTCCCAAAGAACACGTGCGAACACCAGCGTAGTCATCCAGCAGAGAGATCGGGAGCACCCACCCCGGAGCCTGTGCGGGAGGACCGTCCACGGCCGCCCGCCGCCCTTCTACAAAGACAGCCTGACCCCGGGGCCTTCGCACGCGTCCCAACCAGGCAAACCCGACGGGGCAGCTCTGGAAAATGTCCGCGTGGCATCGGCACCCCTAACGAGCTGCGAGGAAGCGCTCCTGACGGCGCCCCAAGTCGGAGCAAGGATGTTTTGGACGAGAGAAGAGTGACGATGATGCCAATCCGGTTGGGCCCTGGCTGGCCGTGTGACCCGGGCCAGCCACGTCACCTCTCTGAGTTTCTACTTCCTTATCTGTAAAGCGGGGCCCTCGCCACCCACCTCGCAGGGCCGAGGTGTAGACAAAGGAACCAGCACGCTTTATACGTGCCATACGTGGCGACTACGGGCGTCAGGACCCCGCCCCGGCACAAGCAAGGACACGGGCTCGGCCTTGGCTCTGCCTGCACAGCTGGCTTTGGGGACGGGGGTGGCACGTGCCAGGGGGCGAACCACAGGGGATGTCACTCACCAGCAGATAGATGCTGCTCGCGATGGCCAGGCAGGCTGTCCCCAGGATGGTGGCAAGCAGGAAGCCGGCAGGTACCGAGAGCCTGGGGAGGGGTGGCGGGGAGGTGAGAGGGGGTCTGCGGCCCCAGGCCTTGGCCTCAGGACGGGGCCAACTGTAGGTGTGCGGGCCCCGGGACCCTGCACGGAGGACACACCCAGTCCTGCCCAAGGCTGGGTCCCGTAACCTGCTCTCTGCTTCCGCTTGTACCTTAGCAACTCTTGGGGTGCTGGCGCTTGGCCCCCGCCACCATGCCGGAAGGAAGCCGTGTAACAGCGGGGGCCTGTGTTTGCAGCCTCCCCGGCCGTTAAGCCCCAGACACTGGCGCGGGGCCGCGAGCGGGGCCGCCCGGGAGAGCCGGTCGGCTCGGACCCTATTCTTGATTCAAGCTACGGAGGGTGGAATAAGTCCTTACGCAGCATGAGGTGACACACACAGGTGTGGGGAGCCTCTGGCAGGACCCAGGGCCCGGGCTTTGGTCTGGAAAAGTCTCTGACTCGGTGGAAGCCAGGTGGGTGTGGGAGCTTGCTCACCCCAGGTGCAGGACGGCCCGGATGTAGTAGTTCCTGGAGAGAGGTCCCAACACCTTCACCACTTTGGTCAGGTACTTCTGTCCGCTGGGCACACGGGGAGAGAAGACAGACCGTGTCCTGCTCAGCAGCCCCCACCCATCCCACCCCAGCGTACCCCAGCTCCTCCCCCCCAGGGACCGAGGGGCCGCGGAAGCCGGGCGCGCTCCGGCCTGCCTGCCCAGGAGGAGCGGCCTCCCCTGGTGGGTCGGGCCCGGCCCCCAGAGCAGGGCGGCACACTCACCATCTCTCCATGGTGGACCCCTTCCTCCTCTTCCCGCGGGGGTACTCCAGCAGGCAGATGAAGACACCCGCTACGCTGACGTGCCGTTAAGGAACAGCCGAGCTCAGCCCGGGGGCCAGAGTGAGCCCCCTGTGCCGACGAGAAAACAGAGAGGTGCAGCTGCTGCCTGGAGGTCACACAGCTGGGAAACAGCCGGGCAGGGTTTGGACAGGCCTGGCCACTCTGCTGCCCGTCCTGAGCCCTCGGTCCCCTGGCGCCTGCCTCGGCTGGCCGGTCACAGCCGGGCAGACCCCGGGCTGGCCAAGGGGGACAGCTGATAGAAAGGGGGACACAGAGGGGGTCCCCGGGATCCCCGAGGCCTCAGTGCCGGCCCTCGGGGCTGCTGGCACCTGCCAGCCCTCACCAGGCTTCGGGCCTCGGGCAAGTTGCCTCCCCGCCCTGAGCCTTGGCCTCGCGAGAACCGCGCATGAGCCGGATCCTGCCGACCCCGCCGCCGCTGAGGGGCTGAGGGCCCCAGGGCTGCGGCAGCATTCTGCCAACCGAGAAGTGCTGTGCCCCCCGGGGGCGGCACCGTCCCCACCCCGAGCCCGGCAGCACCGCCCCGGCCGTGTCCCGGCATCTGCGGAGGAGGCAGGATACATGGAGTACGCGCCGAACCACCAACTGGTGAACTGGCCGGCAGTGGCCACGATGCCCCCCGTGACAAGGACTGTGGGCAGAGGAGAGGCAGGTCAGCGGGGCTGGCGGCTGCAGGGGCTCCGGCCGCCTCTCCCTGTGGCCCCTCCCTCGGCGAGGCCACTGGTCCGTCACCCGTGCTCTGCTCCGCGACAACACGTCTGCCTGTGAAG